CCCCAAAACCCCAAAACCCCAAAACCCCAAAACCCCAAAACCCCTTCTAGAGAAAATTGTGTTGAATCTGATGTAAGAAGAAACCTTTGCATTTGGCATAAATTTATGAGAAATTATAGTTAGTCTTCCTTCAGCTTTTCAGTAGGCTCTTCTGACTCTCCTTCGCCTTCTTTGAGTAGACTCTGCTCTTCCTCTTTGGTAGCTTTGTCTTTCTCAACTTTTTCTTTCTCTTCTTTAGCCTTGACTTCTTCTTCCCATTTGTCTAGCTCCTCGCTAGTAATGATATCATGGAAATCTCCCAGGGCTCTTAGACGCTCGACTAATTCAGGATGGGAGAAATGATAGGTGGCATAGAGAGGATCTGGGTTCAAATTAGCCTTATTTTTTATGTGAAGCCTAATTAGTCCCTTCATAAGTTCCTTCTTGTATCCCAAGTCATTTGCAAATCTATCAGCTTGGAATTCAAAAATCCTTGTGATAAATGTTCTAATCAAATTTTGTATGTAGTCAACTGGAGAATAGATTTCCATGAATACAAGCAGTGCTACCAAGTTATAATGCTTAGTAAAACCAAAGTCTATTAAGATATCATCCCTTTCTATCACAAAACTGAATACATAGAATGTGACGAATAGAGAACTGAAGCTAATGATCATGTTCAACAAATTATGGTACATTGACCAATGGCCAAGTTCATGCCCAACAACAGCAACAATCTCATCTGTCTCAAGATGCTTCAAGAGGTTATCAAACAAAACAATCCTCTTGTTTGATCCAAACCCAAAGAAGTAGGCATTTGAGTGGTTAGATCTCTGAGAATGATCTACTACAAACAACTTCTTAAGAGGAAAATTCAGCTTATCAGCAAGTGCGTAGATCTTTTTCTTTAAATCTCCCTCTTCAACATCTTCATACTTATTAAACAAGGGCATGATGAAGTTAGGGACGATCCACATCATGATGAATGTGAATATTACTACAAAAGTAAAGAGGTACAAGTAGAAGTGCTCCCCTCCCCATTCTATAATCTTGACTATCAATGGGATAACGATAGCCATCAAGATCACAACAAGTATGGATGACTTGATCAAGTCAGTAATGAATAATTTCAAGGTCATAGTATTAAACCCATGCTTCTGCTTGATCACAAAGTTAGAGTACAAGCTCCATGGGATCGACATCACTGTTGAAATCATATAGAGACAAAAGAATGTGAAGAAAGCTTTATATATCTCATTAGTTGGATCAAGGCCAATATAAGCAATTCCTGCTTCATACTCCCATATAAAAGCGAGCAGTAAGAAATACAGAGAAGCCATTTCCCACACAAAATCTACAAAACTCTTAATAATACTGAACTTCTTCATATCCTTATTATAAGCTTGAGAGTCTTTAAAGACCTTCTCCTTCACAAATCCTCGAATATCTGCTGGAACTTGCATATCTTTGAACTTGGCGTACTGTCTGAAGTCAAGGAAGGCCTCGAATACAAAAATAACTAGCTTAAAAAGCATCACAAATGCAAGGTATGGGTACACATCTGTGGTGGTATCCATATCTCTTCCTGCTATTCCCATTAGTTTCAAATAATTATTAACAAAAGGGGTTTTGGGGTTTTGGGGTTTTGGGGTTTTGGGG